TTTTTTTTTTTTTTTTTTTTTTACAGCATCGTTATATTTTGTTCTCTTCAGAATCCATTGCCTGGTCTCTAGCCATAAATCTTTCTCCTTCCATGTTCATTCAGACCTAGCGTTTGTGTGCTCCTATTCAACCATGTGAAAAGGAGAGGTTGTTATGTGGGGTGAATACAGAGTAACTAAGGTCAGCTTTTTAATCTCCAAACCCCAGTTCTGGCACAGGTGATATTGAGTGTAAAAGGGGACCTTTGGCCTCTAGATGGCTTAATGCTCTCTGTGTGCCAGTGCAAACTGGAGATCAGTACCTAGTACCCTCGCGTGCTTTCCAGTGTGTGTGTGTGTGTGGAGGGGGGTGATGTAACCCTCGCGTGCTTTCCAGTGTGTGTGTGTGGAGGGGGGTGATGTATCTCACAGCTGCCAGTTGAAACTACATTTCTAAGCAGAATTTTAACCACCTTTGCTCTTCTTCTGGGTGCCTTCATACCCTCCATCCTTATTCTTTCTTGAATTGGAACAGCTTGTGGCAAATACGCTTTGGATATGCAAGACAAATTTACTTTCTTTACGTTTATTGGATAAGCTGATTTAGAGCCTGTTGCAGTCTGGCACTTGTCTGAAAAAATGAGAAACACAGGAGTATGCAGTTTTTGCTGGGGAGGAGAGTAGAGAGTCAATCTTCTCTAGCTGTTAGTACAGGAAAGTAAATGTTTGTTTTCCCAGGACACTTATGTAATTACTAATGTTGTATAAATAATCTCCCCACCACCACCAACACATTTCATACAGGTACAGAATTAACACTATGCAGAGTTTTCCAAATCAACATTATAATCCTCCTGTCAATAGCTTGGGACAAGAAGATACGAAACAAATGTAATGCGTTAGGAACTTGTCAATAATTTTTTTTCCCTAGACTATTTTGTAAGAACGGATTTTTTTTTCTAGTGATTTGTTTCCAGAGAAGATGCATGAGAATTCATAAATGTCAGAAACTTGTGCTCTTGGTTTATTTTACTTTTCTTTTCCACCTACAAACCGTATCCTGTGGTATCAGACCACTTAAAAGATCTGTTGTATAAGATGCTGTTATTTATATCTGATGCCTTATTTTAATAGAAAAATCACTGCTTGAGAATCTAAATTTTTATTAGAAAAAGGGCTTCAGAATTAGACATTTTTTCATAGTACTGTTTGGGGCTTTTGGATGTGTGTGTTTCATTTTAAAGATAGATTACAAGCTTAAAACAAGGATAGGGAGTGGAATGCAAATCTAACTTAATCTTTTCAGACAGCAAGCCGAGCCTGATAGAAAAGAAGGAAAAGCTTGCACAGATTTTGCTATACAGAATATAAATCTGATACTGTTCATTCATGTATCTAACTTGGTTTGTAGTGTTTGGTGTTGCTGTTTCTGATTAGACATTATATTCAGTAACAAGTGAGAAGTATTTATTTCCCATAGTTTGCCAAATAAGCATACAGGTTAATACTTCCTTTTATTTGTTTTTAATGGCAAAATCTCTCATTTTAAGTGGTTTGGGGGTCTCCTCTTACATTCTTCCTCTATGATGCCATTGCCAGTCTCTTCCCCCACAACTGGACTTTGGCCAGGCCCTCAGTCAGCATCACTGTAATCCCCCCTGCTGAAAGAGATCATTACCAGGTGGTTAGGGCAATTTGTGGCTTGCCATGACATTTTTACTTTGAAAAAACTTCCTGTGATTTATTCCATTTTCACCTCTGATCTCTCTTCCTTCTCCCCACCCCTTATCTCCCCCCACCCCCAACTTAGGATTTCAGATGCATGCCACGTTTCCATTGAATGCCAGAAGTGGAGATCTCTACAGATGGAGCCCCAAAGTCAACATGGCAGTGGCGGTTCATTAGTTGTGATTCAGCAGCCTTCCCTGGACAGCAGGCAAAGGCTGGACTATGAAAGAGAAACTCAGCCAACAGCTATCTTGTCACTGGATCAAATCAAAGTTATTAGGGGCAGCAATGAATACACTGAAGGTCCATCTGTGGTGAAGAAGTCTGGTCCACGGACAGCACCAAGACAAGAAAAGCATGAAAGGACTCATGAAATCGTACCAATTAATGTGAATAATAATTACGAACCCAGGCCCAACCATGTAGGACATGTGGCACATCAACATAATGTCAGGGCCCCTGTGCTGAGCAGATCAACTAGCACTGGGAGTGCAGCTAGTTCTGGAAGCAACAGTAGCGCTTCTTCAGAGCAGGGACTGTTGGGAAGATCACCCCCATCCAGGCCAGGTTCCGGCCACAGATCTGAAAGGACCATTCGGACACAGCCCAAGCAGTCATCTTTGATTGTAGATGATCTGAAGGGTCCCTTGAAAGAGGACTTGACACAACACAAGTTTATCTGCGAACAGTGTGGGAAGTGCAAATGTGGTGAATGCACAGCCCCAAGGGCCTTACCATCTTGCTTGGCCTGCAACAGGCAGTGCTTGTGCTCTGCTGAGAGCATGGTGGAGTACAGCACCTGCATGTGCCTGATCAAAGGAATTTTCTACCACTGTTCCAATGATGATGAAGGGGACTCATACGCGGATAATCCCTGCTCTTGTTCCCAGTCACATTGCTGTTCCAGGTACCTGTGCATGGGAGCAATGTCCTTGTTTTTGCCTTGTTTGCTGTGCTACCCTCCTGCAAAGGGATGCCTAAAACTGTGCCGAGGGTGTTATGACCGGATCAATCGTCCAGGTTGCCGATGTAAGAACTCCAACACTGTCTATTGTAAACTGGAGAGCTGCCCCTCTCGGGGTCAGGGCAAGCCTTCATGATTTTTGGAGGGAGATTTGATTTGACTTCCTCAGACTTTTGCTTTCAGGTTGTGGCTGATTTTGCTCTTTGTTAATCCTTTAACTTTCCTTCCTTTACCCACTTTTCATAAAAGTCCTTTTCTTTGCACCCTCCATATCCCTTCTTTGACTCAGACAAGTGTGGTATATTTTACTTAGTCATTTTCAATCTTTGGTAAGCATGGACTATATATTTACACCTAAGTCCTCAGCTTAGCAGGACCTTTTAGGCTTGTTAGTATAATCCGCTCATTAAAGAGACAAGGAGGGCTAATGGGCTTTTTTTGCAGCCTCTTGCTCTACAGAAAACTTCCCAAAGATGTCCTTTTTGTTCTCCTCAACTGTGGTTGTTTTGTTTTTGTTTTTGTTTGTTTTTTGCTTCAGAGGAACAAGTCCAACATTATTCCATGACTGAGCTGGATTATGAAACAGTTTAAAAAATAGTCCTGAAGGGGTTGGAACCTTAGAAAATATAGCGCTGGATTGAATTTTTTTTTTTTTTTTTTTTTT